TTATTTTACAAAAATATTTTTAAAAAATCATAAATGTTTAGTATTTAATTTGAATAAAATTTATTGATTAATACCTAAAAACTCTTTAACGATTCATATCAAGTTAAAAATATATACAAATAGTGTTAAATATAATTTAAAAGGTAAGGTATATCTCTCTTTGAATAAATAAAGTTGAATTTTTTTTATAGTAGCTATATATTAGGAATTAAATACCAAAATATTGAACTTTTCAAACAATTTACCAAACTAGCTACAATTCAACATTGTTTCGCCATACCAATTGGCGAAAACGTGTAATTGAAATTTTAGAAAAAACAAGTCGCCATACCAATTGGCGAAAGAGGCAAAGTGATTTTTTTAGTTTTTGCTGTTAATTGTATTTTTAATTTTTATTATTTTATTAATTCCAATTAATGTTTTAAAGTATTTATCATTAATATTTTGGAACTTTTAAATATTATTTTGTTTTTAAACATAATTATTATTAATAAACATAATTTATAATATAATTAAAATATATTAATGTAATTAAAATATTAATATAATTAAAATTACAACAACAAAAATATTAATGTAATGAAAATTACAACAACAAAAATATTAATATAATTAAAATTACAACAACAAAAATATTAATGTAATGAAAATTACAACAACAAAAATATTAATATAATGAAAATTACAACAACAAAAATAACTAATGGCCGACTCTATCCAATCGACCACCGGTGCCACACTGTGGAGGGTGCGCGTTGCGACGAGGTCTACGACGAGGTTGTTGTGGTGTGTCAGGTCATTGTGTGTTGGGTTGTGGAGGAGGATGTTGTTGGGACGGCCCCGGCGTATCAGATAGATTTTGCATCATTTGACCCCAATAGCCGTGAGGTCCACTGTCAATGGCGCTTCCGTAGTCAAGCCCAATGCCCATGTTTTCAAAGGATTGTCGGGGAGGTTGGGTGGAGTATGGCCGATATGGTTGTCCGAATTGGTACATGGAATTGGGTTGGTCTAGGTGTGTTGGTTGTTGTGGGGTGTGGTAGTCAAACAGTGGATATTTGGAGGGGTAGTTGGATGGGTAGTTGGGTGGGTAGTTGGAGGGGTAGTTGGATGGGTAGTTGGAGGGGGTAGGATCGAATGAGTTGTCTGGGCTATAGGTGGATGGGTTAGGCTCAAAAGACGTATCAGGGCTGTAATGATATGGTGGTTGAGACTGGGATTGGGTGGATGGCATGTAGGGTTGTCGTTGTTGATAGGGGGTATTTGTTGGCACGTATGGGTTTTCGTAAGGCTGATTTTGGACATTGTCATGTTGCTGTGTGTTAGACAAAGAATCGCGTTCCCTTGGGTCGGCCAAATAGGTTGGCTGGGACAGGAAAGGCTGAGATGTCGTGACAGACCTAAACCAAGTCATGTATTGAAGACTTGGCCGGGCCCCGTGCACAATACGGTCGGTTAATACGTGATGCCTTCTTCTTTTCCAATGTAAATGCAACTCCTTCGCAAACTCTATGCGGGAAATCAAAGATCGAACGCTAAGGAAGAAAGTTGTCAACGCGGGATATGCACTTACTGAACCCACTTTCAGATACTATCGCGACGAGATCAGACTGACAAATGCAGATGCTGGACGATGGGTTGATAACATTGATAAGGAGAAATGGACCCGGGCATACGACAATGGGGTGCGATGGGGCCACATGACAACTAATCTCGTCAAATCAATGAACTCTGTTTTCAAGGGAATCCGAAACCTCCCAATAACTGCCTTGGTAAAGGCAACCTATTTTAGGCTAGGATCACTCTTTGATAGCAGACGCACGAAGTGGGGTTCGGTATTACAATCGGGTCAGTTGTACAACGATACTTCAATGAAATTCATGAAAGACGAAGCTGCCAAGGCCAACATACACGTGGTGACAATATTTGACCGTACAACTGGTAGGTTCAGTGTTGTCGAGTCTATGGATCACAACGAAGGCAGGCCTAGGGGATGTTACCGTGTTGAATTGGATAAGAGCTGGTGTGATTGTGGAAAGTTTCAAGCATTTCGTATGCCTTGCTCTCATGTCATAGCAGCATGTTCGAAGTTGCGCCAGGACCCAACCAACCTTCTTTCTGCATTTCACCAAGTCATTAGTCTATGCAATGTCTACGCATGCAGCTTTCAAGTGGTGGCAAAGGAGGACTATTGGCCTCAATACGAAGGCGAAATTGTTTGGCATAATGACTTGATGCGCAGACAGAAAAAGGGTCGGCCTAACAGCACGCGCATTCGAACTGAAATGGATACCGCAGATAAGCTGGTGAGATTGTGTAGTTCGTGTAGGCAACCAGGACACAATCGAACAAAATGTCCTCACGTAGGATCAAGCAACAGATCATAGTTTCAAATGTAATCTCTTCCCGTTAAATCAATATCAACTTTTCATTCGATTAATAACAACTTTTATTCCATTAATAGAAAATTTCATTAGAATAATACCAAGTTTCAATCAATTAAAAACATACTTAACTGTCATAACAACAATATGAAAATAAAACACTGCACCGACACAACATAAATTCAACAAACATAACAACAACGTAAAGACTTAAAGCATAACACTGCACCAAGGCGTCTACGATATCACGACCATCAACTTTATCGGCTTTGGTGTCAACATCATCACAAGGACACCAGCGTCGTTTACCACTTTTCTCCATTCACGAGTAACTCCGTTTCTCCCGGTTTCCTCGACAAGCCTCTCGATTTTCCTAATCTTTTCTCCTGGAGCAATATCTCCTTCCAGCCAGCGGTACAGTTCCCTATGCAAGTGCTCCAACGTCTGCGTATTCCACAGGAGCATCTTCATCGGAGGCTTGGTTGCTGAAAACACAACTAGGGCATTTCTTTTCATTAGATCGAACTCTAGAAACGGTTCCTCTGATGCTGATAACGACGACGACGAAGAACATTGATTTGGAAATGCAAACATTCTAGACTTCAATCCACTCAAAATGTACTAACGTAATCTTTTGGCATATAATGTTGTGAAAACATATATGTGTTCACAGTTGTATTTATAGATAAATACAATAGTACGTGGCCCATATGAAATGTCTTAAATACCCTTATAAAATTTATACACCTTAAAATTTAAAATTTAAATCAATTTATACGCTTTTAAATAATTTATAATTTAAACATATTATTTAAAAATATTACTTAAATTTATTAACATATTATTTAAAATACCCTTACATATTATCTAAATAATCTTTATTTTATACTTAAATTTAAAAATATTACTTAAATTTTTGTTGTTGTAATTTTAATTATATTAATATTTTTGTTGTTGTAATTTTCATTACATTAATATTTTTGTTGTTGTAATTTTAATTATATTAATATTTTCATTACATTAACATATTTTAATTATATTATAAATTATGTTTATTAATAATAATTATGTTTAAAAACAAAATAGTATTTAAAAGTTCCAAAATATTAATGATAAATACTTTAAAACATTAATTGGAATTAATAAAATAATAAAAATTAAAAATACAATTAACAGTAAAAACTAAAAAAATCACTTTGCCTCTTTCGCCAATTGGTATGGCGACTTGATTTTTCTAAAATTCCAATTACACGTTTTCGCCAATTGTTTGAAAAGTTCAATATTTTGGTATTTAATTCCTAATATATAGCTACTATAAAAAAAATTCAATAAAGTTGATCTCTCAAATTTGATTTAGATATAGACTTTTACAATTAATAAAAACTATAATTATATTTAAAAATATATATGAATGGTAAGAATTATGCTAGATAATTTATAAATAAAATAAAATAAAATAAAAATAGTGTGACATATTAATGAGTTGCATTCGCAGGTTTGTGAATTTAAAATTTCAAATCAGTTATCCAACTAAATACCAATGAGTTTGAATGAGTTACAAATCTGTTACAGACTAGTTACGATTTTTGCTACTGATTAGCTACGATGAGTATGTTTTGCTACTGATTAGCTACGATGAGTATGTCTTATCATAAAAAACTTTTACATGACATTGCCACGTCAGTCCCGTTAACGCTTGTTAGAAGGAGGGACCAAAAGTATGGATGCAAAATACTAAAAGAACTATTTTTTGAAGATAATTTTTAAAAAAATTAAAAATGAAATGAACTATATTTAGAAAGATCAAAATCTTTCTTATTTTAAGTCGATATTAACATCTATATTACTAATAACCTATATTACTAATATTACAATTAACAGATGTGTTATAATTCTTAATACCTTTAGTTGCAAACAATTACATAAGTTTAATTTGAAGAGAAAAAAAGTTTTACAAAATTGATGATAAAAAATTAATATATTTATATTGTAAATTATTAAATTGAGAATCTTAGAGGAAAAATTTGATTGTTTATTTATTCAATCTTGATGTTATTCTGTTTAAGTATGGGCTAAAAGGAAAAGTACAGATGCTAAAAGTCCACTCAAGAAGAATTTATAGACCATTAGCCCGTTTCATTAATGTTATTTAAAACAAACTCGCCTTTTTAAGCAAGAAATATGTTTTGACCATAAAAATAAAAAGAATAAAAGAGCTTTTATTAGTAAGAAAAAGTAAAGCAGAAATTATTTTAGCGTTTTTAAGTGTATTTGTTTAAGTATGTGTTAATAATTATTTTGATTAGACTTTTGAAAAAATATTTCAATAGAAGAGAAAAGTATAAACCTTATGCAAATATAAAAATAATTTTATAATTTTCATAAATAAATAAAAATTATTTTATAATTATTTATTAGTTTATAAGGGCAAAAAAAAAAAAAAAACTTAACCAGTTAATTATTCGAAACAATAATTATATTTCTGAAACAATATGCTCCAATAAGTGTAACAATTACAAATAACAAATCAAACAATCACCTCAATGATGTTACAACTTCCTAGAACACATAGTGAATCAAATTTGGCTCAGGATAAAGACTAATAAACTCAGAGTTTTACAGGGTCACAAGAGGTTCATCACTTTTCTTCTCTGCCTTTGGCTCCTCAACTTCAACATCTTCCTTTATTGCTTCAGGAGTCTCAGTGGCTGCCTCCGCCACCTCTAGCTCGGCTTCCACGGCTTCTCCTGCAACCTCTTGTTTCTCCTGAGCACCTAGAGTCTCGCCTTGATTAACATTCTCCGGCACGGTGGGAACATCCACGGGGGCTTCCGCCTCGTTCAAGGCAAGATCCTTAGGACTGCTCGCACAACCTCCCATTATTGAATTTAGGTTATTAAAGAATCAAGTAAAAGGGAGGAGGTGTGATGAAGGTAAAGAACACCAAAAGGTGCATTATATATTACTACTACGTTGCGGTTGGAATTTTTTTAGGAGCAATTATCGGGTTATGATAGAAATTAACCTGTCATTGATCATGTTTTGTGGCCAAATTATGACCCGATTACTTCGTTTGCATGCATGGTTGATAATTTGGTTATAACAAGTGTCATAATCTCTTGTTATCGATCTGTTTTCTTTCTTCCATGAATTTCTGAATTCTAAACTTGGGTTGTGGCTGAGTTGGAGGCTCACTAGGTGAGTTACACCTTATAGAAAGTGAAGTCCACTTTATTTTTTATCTTATCTATTTTTTATTTATTTATAAATTACTTAATTTTTTGATTTTGACTTAGTTGATTTTGATTAAAATAAATAAATTAAATATAAAATGATTTATTTATATTTAAATGCATACAAGTAAATATAATTTTTATTAATATATGTTGTCTTGATATTTTGATTAAAATTGATTTTTAATATGTATATAGTTACAAAATATTTTACATAATATGTGTGTTTAACTGTTTACTTTGTTTGGATTCTTTATCAAATTTTCATTTTTAATAGGGTAATCGATTTCTTTTATATATGTATCATGATCAAAACAAACTATAATAATTAAATTGTAACATAAATAAAAAACTACAAGTCATTGTCAAATGACAATCAAGTGAAAATTATTGTTACATAGAATACATTCAATCACTTCACCACGATTATAAACTCACACTCTCTAAAATAGATGTAAGTGTTTAATTATATTTCATAACACTTCAACACAAGAATATAAGAGAAAAAAATATAAAATACATGTTTAAAATATTTTTGATCAGTGCATTTTATATTGAAGAATTTGATTTAATTATAGTCTTAAACTCCCTATTTTTTTTATAAAACTAAATAATGTTAGATTATTTCAAAATGTATATTTTTAACCAACGCCAACAATTTTTACCTTGAATGAAAAAGATACATAACTTTCATTGTCTACAAAAACAATTTGTAGTGTTATATTTGTAAAGAACCTAAAAAAGGCGAAAGTTTTGCAGCTCTCAAGAAAGGTGGCGACCTCTATAAAGGATTGCTTCACCCTAAGGTATCTCTCACTCACCTAGTTATGAGAAACGTGTGAAAAGACTTTTCTTGATCAGAGAGAAGTCAACGTCAACAATTGATCCATGTCTTCCTAAGGAAAAGGGATTCAATGATACACTATTGATTAAGTGGATAGTGATTTTTCCAAGTAGATCCTAGGCGCAAAGGCTTCTGTAAGTACTTTTCCCCAAATAGGAGAAGACAAATCATAATACCCTAAGCATTACGCTTACATACAGAGCATCTCACCTAATGTGATTAGGTCCTCTAAACCACTACAATAATTGTAACACCACCATACAAGGCTTCTTGCCGCCGAGGACAATCCCTTATCATCCTAAAATATTATAAACCTACTAATTAAGGCCTCTAAGCATCATATACCCTCGTAGGGATGTGTTAAAGGCCAAATTGTGCATATTTTTATAGTATGTTGTGGCCCTTTCCAATTGTTTATTTGGTGTTTTAGTGTAAATATGCAAATTTCCGATTTAATTGTAAACATTGTAAATTATGATCATTTTAATGCCTTTTAACAATTCTTCTTGCTGATATAATGCTTGGAATCTGTGCTGAAGGGAAGAAGGCCTAGAAGATCATTTTCACAACGTTTTATCGGTAAATCGCGCTTAGCGCGCTTTTCAGTGTGGGTTCAACGTAGTTTTACTGTTAAGGTAGTGGCAAATGGCCTTTGACCGCGCTTAGCACGCTTTTTGGGATTTTCCCTCTATTTTACTGACTGTGCGTAACGCTTTTCTAATGGTGCTTAGCACAATGCCAATTATATGCACTTTTTGTACTTTGTATAAATAGCTACCTTGGGAGATATTTTGGGATATTATTGTATTTTTAAGATCTTTTTATCTCTCCTCATTCTAAACATACTTTTAGAGAGAGAAACATAATCCTAAGAGGGAAAAACCAAAATTAAAGGAAATCAGAGCTTGATCTTTGAGTGAGTAGCTTCAATCTCTTGTTAGGTTTGGGTGTAATCTTTTGATACCTTATGTACTTCATCTAATCTATGTATTGCAAACTAATTTGGATACAATATTGATGTTATCTTTGATTTCTTATTTGTGGGTCTTGACAAAACCTTTTGCAAATCTTAGATCTTAGATATTCATCTATCAACGATCAAACTTTTGACATAGTGTCGCTACTGCGAAAAAGGGAGCCGGCGGAAGATAGAAGAGTCGCAATCGTTCGTTATTTATCCCAAAAAGAGGGAAAGGAAACGATCAGAGAAAACCTACGAAAAAGGGAAAAGACAAGGTCATCGCAACCAAATCTCGGGTTCGGGAGTCGGTTACGCAAGGGGAAGGTATGAGCACCCCTCACGTCCGTTGTACTCAACGGGATCCACGCTTGTTGTCTATCTAAAAAAAGGTGTAAAACTATTTAAGCTACAGGCTTGCAGAGAGAAAGGAAAAGAAAAGAGACTCGATAGAGCATCGTCGTTCTATGCCTACGTATTCCCTCGTGCAATGGGAAAGTCAGAGTCAACGTAGTTCATAAAACTACGGGTGAAGGTGGGGGAAGGTTGTTCGTCAAGACATCACCGTCTTATGCCTACGTATCCTCGTCTGGTACGAGAAATCAGAGCAAACATAATTTGGGCTGACACGACCACTGGTTGGTTCAAGTGTTTTAAACCAAGTAGGGCGAAACCTTAGTTCTAGCAGTTAGGTGTATGCTGCTCGACCATTGGAGACTTAGGCGTTACCTATTTGCGGTAGAACCAAGAGTTAACAACACTCTCTTTAAAAAAGTTTTTCAATTAATCTCGAAGGATAAAAAGGTTTGATGTTTTTGTGTTTGTGTTTTTTTTAGACGAAGAAGTGAATTGAGTTTGGTTTGTAACTCATGTTGCACTAAAGACTATGACTCGAGAGCGAATGCGTCGCATATTGCCCAAAGGGCATACGCTAAACACTCTAGACAATTAAGAGGAGGCCCCCCAATCATAATTCCTCAAGTACTTAAGGCTCGTAGCATACAACAAAAATTATTCTTTATTAAGTGTTTTGAAGTGTTTAGGAGATGAGAAGAGAAAGACACAAACTAAGGGGAAACTGGACCCTAATGTTATCATGCACAATGCTCCTAAAGTTGGGATGAAAGGGGAGAACTACCCTAATGTTATCATGCATAGGATTGAACACCTAATGTCTCTCTTACTCCCATATTAAACAGAGGGACTAGGAATCCTAGGGGGATCATGGCATGAATCCAAGTAAACACTAAACAACTCAATCACAAATGAAATGAGAAAAAGAAAAGAAGTTGACTTGAACAAGTCAACATGCAATGCAAACAAAGGATGCAAAGAAAAGATGCAACAAATAAAGAATGGAGGGAGGAAAAAGTGTGGGGAAGCCACCACCACAAGCACATCTCAGCCAACATTCCTTAAAACTCAACAAAACAATGCAAACAAAATAAGCAAACAAGCATCAATGTTCATGACAAGTTCAAAGTATACACAAATGACACCAAACTATCACGAACAAGTGATAAGCCACATGGGGAAGAAGTGAAACTCAAATAAAATGAACCAAGTCAAGCTCAACACAAGAAGCAAAACACAGTCACAATCACATGTAGTGAAGGAAACAAAGTCCTAACACAAACTCAACACTTAAACAAGTGGAGAAGCATGATTCTCAAGTGACTTGTGATGCAAGTTACACATGATATTGACCTATGACAAGCAATACAACACCTTAAGTATGTCAACATGAGCTAACAAGGCTTAAGAAGTGCTTAAGGGATCACTCATGATCATATCCCAAGAATTAGGTCAAAACTAGCAAGCATAAACAACCCTAAAAGTGACTTGTCTTGCAAGATTCACTAAAAATAGGAGAATGGCTCAATAAATGCCAAGAAAAATACACAAGATACCCAAGTCAAGTGAAAAACAGAAGCCAAAACCTCATGATATAATTTCACTCAAAGCATCACCAAACAAATTAAAGATTCATGGTGCTCCACTTTATCGAGCATGAATCGAGGGGCAACTAAAGTCAACTCAAAGCCAAATGAAAAATGCTCAACAATGACTCAAACCAGCCCTCAAAACTTATTCAATCCATCACCTAAGTGGGAGAAAAAATTTGGTCATAGGGGGTTTTATTTGAGGTCTAAATGAGCAAGCATGAACTAGGGTACAAACCATAAGGCACATTAATTTAAAAATTCAAAATAAAATAATAAAGTAAAATGAAAATTGAAATAAAAAATGTGAAAAATTAAATAACACATTAAAATAGCATAATATATTTTTTTGGATATTTTATGAAAAATAAAACTATTTTTAAATAAATAAAAACAAACAAGATAAATAAAGAGAAAATAAAAACAATGTGCGTGTGGGGGTGTATTAGCAAGAAGTGTCATAACTGAGGTTCTGTTATACACACACATGGGCCTGGGGTGTGGGGGCGCAAACAGCAAAACCATTAGACCCATAGTTCATATTTCAGTAACAAAAAAAAAAAACAAAAACTAACTTAAATGAAACAGGGCGTTTCAACAAAACCCCTGCCACATCATCATCGTCCCCAATGATTCAAAACCCTAACAAGCTCCATGCATCGTAATTTTTTCAAATGGAACCCAGATCTTCATCAACCCATAACTTCTCAATGCCTCAACCATTTTTAAAAATACAAAGACCAAAAGTGGTCTACAAAACACGAGGAACACAGCCATGGTTATTATTTTCAGGATGAAACACTTTAAGACATTAAAAAGTTGGCTCAAAGATCTGGGTCCAAGTGAAAACTCAACTCACAACTCTCACAAAAACCAAACATAAACATGGTAGTAACCTTAAA